AGTGTCTTCTGTATTAACCTTTAATTATTGAAGGGTAGAAACTATTGTGTTTGGTTTTCACTGCATCACAAATACTACTTTTTGTGGAATTAATTTCTAGAGCACATGATTGTTGAGCAACAAGTGACATGACCCATAATTCTCTCACTATGTGCAAAAATCACTAGGATTGAGCGAGGCTAAAATCAGGAGCAGAAGCAGGAGCTTCATTTGGGTTTCCAACATGGACACAAGGTCCAAGACACTTTGATCAACCTTTGATGCCTTTCCTGATATTATACATTAACTGGATCATAAATAGAAAAGCTGGGAATCGAACCATCACCCCTATGGGATGCCTGCACTGTAGGTGGTAGTTTAACACTTTATGCCACTGTGCCCATCTTTAGAATTTTAAATTTTGCAATGAACGTTTAGTCAAGTAAGATTTAAAGATAGTGTAAATATTACACAATGTATAATTTACATTTTACATCAATGAAAATTTTAAAATTAGAATGATGTTAAATATCATATAACTGTATGACCAAGGGATTCAAAGAAGACAATAAACTGCAAACATAATGATTTTATAAAAATATTGAAATATGATTTACATAAGTGGTTCTTAAAATGACCTTCTAGTAAGGCAAAACATATAATATCAAATCAAGTTTCAGACAATACATTTCTATGAAAGGTTGAGAACAGTAATTGACAGCCAGACACTTTTGCTCTCTAATCATCTTACTTTAATTCAAGGATAGAACCTGGAAAAACTAGATGGACAGCTTAAATGCCCATTAACCTGTCTCAATCAAATATAAGATGCCTTAAATCAATTTTCAGTAAGCATTGAACCATGTCCAAGAGATAAATGAATTTTCTTTCAGATATTTGTAATGACTTTTTTAGCGCACAGAGAGAAAGGTCCTTTAGAATATCAGATAAGTAAAGGGGTGACATTGGCCTTTGGATGTAAGCATTTTACTCAATGTTCGTTCAGCATCTTTATCAAATCATTATTATATCTGAACATGATTTATACCTTCTAAAGGAATCATATAATCTCCAACTATATTTATTTAGACATTATTTTAATGGTTTCAGATACACTAGTAACTTTTAAATACCAGTATTTTAACTATTACAGTATTTTAACTATTACTATTAGTCTGATTTAATAAAGTACTAATTTTTCCATTTAGTCCAAAACCATCTTAGACAGAAAACACAAAAAGGCTTATTTACTTTCAAGAGAAGAAGACCACAATCTCAAAATTAACTTTTTAATATACATGAAAATGTAATAATTTTCTTTGTGGAAAGGAAAAATTTACTTTGTTTGCTTGTAGTGTGTCTTGTAGCTACTTCTAATACTTAAATCTTCAATCAGTAACAAAAAATGGATGATAATGTTGATGTACTACAAATCTATCTTTTAGAAACAAAGGATAAAAATTGAATGATCTAACCAAAATAAAGAGATAAATGTTTGAAGATGTAAATATATTTAACCCGAATAGATGTTACATATTGTATGGATATACCAAAATATCACACATACTACTAAAAAAATATGTACATTTAAAATTTACAAGCTACTGGAAAAATAAAGATTACTTTACCTTAATTTAACTATGTGCATATTTAGGTGTATCTGCTTTATAAAAGTACCAGAACATATGATTATCTCCCAGTTACAAGTCTGGATTCAGTGTATGAGATATGAAATTTTAATGACATTTATTCTGCTATTAACAGTACCTGATGAAATGTAGAGTGCAAACAATTAAAACAGTGTTTTCCCAGAAGAGCATGGAGTTTGTCAGATGTAACTATTTATCCAGATAGCCAGGGGCTTTCATAAATGAATATTTGGCCAATGAATTGAGGGAAAGTGGGTTGCATCTTACCACACCAACTCAGCACTTATAAAAGGGAACAGGTTTGAGTCAGGTCTGTGAATGGGAAGTAATGAAAAGCACAGGAGATTCAGGGCAGTAAGTAATTAAAACAAAGTTAGAATTGCAGCTGGAATGAATTCTGTTAGCATAACATAGGAAATAAAATAATGTCAATGAGCTTGCAAAGTCAGGTGTTTTTGTTTGTTTTCATATAGTGTGGCACATGGGAAAGAATTAGCATCATTCATGAAGAGAATGGAGTATAGTAGGTGAAGGGCATTAACTCAGATCCATACATACAGCATTGAGATCCTTATTAAATAGCCTCTCCTTGGGAGTGAAGTTATTTGACTTCCCAGGAAAGGGTAGTTCAACTAGGAAAGGCATGCCCAAAGATGATCAAATTACAGTTGGGCAAAGAGTGCCTTAACAGACTTGAGTTATTGTCAAGGAAACAAAACAGTACAAAACACTGGGAGAACTCCATGGTGAGTAGTGGACAGGTAAAACAGAGTAACCCAGGAAAATTGGGTATCACAACACCTGAGGAAAATCAGTAATCAAAAAGAAAGTAGGGCCTGGCGCAATGACTTAATGGTAAAACCCTTACCTTATAAACATCTGGCTCTCACATGGGCACTGGCTGGTATCTCAGTTGCTTAAGTTCTCAGCCAACTCTCTGTGGCCTGGGAAAGCAAGGGGGATGGCCTTAAGCCTGGGGACCCTGCACCTGTGTGGAAGCTCCTGGCTGCTGACTTCATATTATCTCAACCTCAGCTGTTGCGGCAACTTGGGAAATGAGCCAGCAGATGAAAGATCTTTCTCCCTATATCTTTTTCTCTATATAGATCTGCCTTGCCAATAATAATTAATAAATCTTAAAAAATAATCTGGTGTGGTGCTGCTGGTGGGGGTGGTCTAATGCTGGTGTGTTGGCTCAGTAGGGTAGTCTTCCACCTGCAGAAATGGCATCTCATGGGCTCCAGTTTGTTTCCCTGCTGCTCTGCTTCTGACCCAGTTTGCTATTTGTGGTCTGGGAAAGCAGCAGAGAATGGCTAAAATCCTTGGGTCTCTGGAGTCACGTGGGAAACCTGGGAAGATACTTCTGGCTCCTGGATCCAGACTCCTGGCTTTGGATTGTTTTAGCTCTGGCTGTCACATCTATTTAGGGAATGAACCAGCCAAAGGACAGATTTCTCATCTCTTTTCTCTCTGTACCCACTTGAGAGACCTAGAAGCTCCTGGCTCTGGGCTTTGCATCGGCTCAGCTCTGGCCACCACAGCCTCTTGGAGAGTGAACCAATGGACAGCAGATCTTTCTTTCAGTCTCTCCTTCTCTCTATAAATGTGCCTTTCCAATAAAACAAAATAATAAAATACATACATAAATACAGCTTCAAAAAACCCTTCATTGATTAAATCTTGTCAATTGAACATTTTAAAAATAGCTAAGTTTTGCTTTATTTCTTGAAAATCACATTTATTTTAGCAATATATAGGTTGGTAGCATTTAGGTCTAGAAATGCTTCTCTTAGTTATTTGTGTTAACAAAATAATTTTACAATAGTAGAAATGTTACAACACATTATATCATAATATATATCCATAGGTAAATTAAGCAGAGCTAAATATTCAGCTCTACAATCAGCTTAATATTTGAAAAAAAGTTGAAAAATCTTTCAGTATGAATAAAGAGAATACATTGAGGCTGGCCTTGTGCAGTCGACTAAGCCACTGTGGAGAGCTCAGCATTGTACATGTAGCAGATGTGAAATGCAACTTCTGCACTTCTGATCTGGCACCCTGCTTGTGTGTGTGACAGACAGTGGAAGACAGGTTCAGTGCTTAGACCACTGAACCCATGTTGGTAGACTCATAAGATCCACAATCCGAGCTTTGACATGGTTCAGTCTTGGCCACTGCATCCACTAGTGGAGTAAATGAATAGGTCGACAACACTCCCTCTTCCTACTTTGCCTATAATATAAATAAATCATGTAATATTAAACTTGAAGTTTTAACGATACAAATTACATGGATTCATTGAAATTCCAATTTAATTCTCAAAGTTGCTAACCATTTGATTACATAATTGCATAATCTTATAACAGCAGTATTTATTTCATTAAGACACTACAGTATTAAATAGAATAATCAATCCAATAATAGTGAAGCATTTGTTTTGAATGTCTTATAAAACACAAAATGTTCAGTATATTTCCTCATTTACCAAGCAAAATTAAATAACTGTCTTTGTTAGTATGATTTCCTTGGAAGTGCTTAAATAACTTGGAGGAAAACCACAAGACTAAGAATGCTAGTTGTGTTGCTAATAGACAGGTAACACATCAACTCTTGACTGACAAGCACTTTTGTTATTTGAGCAAACATTCCTGGAGTTATTACTCTCTTTACAATTGTATCCATTGATTTCCCAAGAACAACTTAGATGGGGATAGCTATGTTTCTAATAATTTTCTGTGATTAGATTTTCAAAATTATGCTTCTATTCAAAGGTACTATCTTCATTCAAGCATAACAATTGAGAATATTTCTTGCTGACGTTATCTGTCATCACTATTTATACAGTTCATCCAAGGGCAGATAGCAAAGCCAAAGGTTTTCAGGAATATAATTTCAAGAGTAAATTCAAATGGGCTAAACAATATTTTTCTTTCCTAATCACAAGGAATGTAATTGGGAGCCAAAAAATATTCTTCCATTTAGAAAATCCAAGTTTTAAAAGGCAAAGATTACCTGATTTCATTAATACATGGTATACATATACACTGATTTGTCACATTGCGTCCTATAAGTGTGAATAATTAATAATAAGAGAAGTGTAAATATATATAAAGACAGAGATTATATTACATGAAATGGTGTCAGCTCTGGTGAAAGGTTTTTACTACATGTCCTTGCTTTTGTAAGGAAATTGGTAGATAAAATGGGTAAGTTAAAAACAGTAAATTAAAAATACGGAAGTATTATTACTTCAGTAAAAATGCAAATGAGTGTGTTTTCGCTTATATGTGCATATTATAAATATCATGTTTGGTCATAACGTTGGCAAAAACAAGCTTAAAATGTTTCTTTTTAACATTGATGTAACAGAGCCCAGACGGCCGTATTGAGGTCAGAGGTCAACATGGGAGCTCATCATTGCATATCAAGGAGGTGAATCTGTCAGACTCAGGCAGATATGACTGCGAAGCTGCCAGCAGAATTGGAGGGCACCAGAAAAGCATGTATCTTGATATTGAATGTAAGTCTTGTTTTAATTTATATGCTTATTAAAGCAAGTTTAGCTGTCTTAAAACAGCGTTTTCGGGGGGGGGAATACTTGTAGTTTATATTTTGGCATTTCAAGTGCAACTTTTCAAGGATTGTTAAGCTATTAAAACTCAGTTATTAGAGACATCTAGTGGATACTAAGGAGCATTTCACATTTCAGTATCTTAAGCATGATGCTGTGTGTCATGAAAATGGTGCTTCTTTCTTTGAAACACTTAATACCAACCACAATATTGTATGATTTATCAGTTCTTGCCCACCCTGTTTTTAGACTTTTATTTTTTAAGTATTAGATGTGGTATAATGTGTTGTATATGTGTTGTATGCGCTGTGCCCGTTCACATTTCCTATTCAAATGGTGTGGTCAAGTTGCTTTACCTCCTCATAATATATGAAACAATATTTTTGAATTTAGTGAAATACATCAATAGTAGTTTTATCATAATTTTTGTGCTTATTCTGAAAGAGAAAAATCATTATATTTAAAAAGGTAATTTAACATCATTCCCAATGAACATTAATGAGTCAAGGCTATATCTGATGCTAAAAAAAGACAGCTTACTTTTAGCAGGAATGTATGAAAGTCTTTTGTTGGCAAAATATAGGAGAATTTCTCATTCAGTAATATTGATAGGATAAATGTAAGGAACTGTACAGCAAGATGTGTTATTTCTTGATAATGCCTCTCAGACAATTTTGTCTATAGGATAAAAAAAAAATCAATGGTAATTTAGTTGCTGATTGCGCTTTCCAAGAAATTCATAAAAAACATAAAAATTGAAAAAGGTGGTCAACGATTATTGATTTTGTTTATTATTCAGTAGCTTCCCAGAAAGTTAGGTTCTAAGTGACTTTAAACTAAAAATTGTATATGTCAACCAAGTTTTACTTCAGTGTTCTGCTTCCTTTAATGTGAATGTAAATGAAGAATCACTTAAGAGAGACAAGGTATGCCTTCTGTTAGAAAGTATCCAATTATCTGGATAGAAAAATTCTTAGAAAAGTCCTGCCTTTTCCCATGGTTCAATGGAAGGTACTAGGTCATATAGTCTCTTAATGAAACAATGTTTAACTCTTTTAAGTTTCATTTTTAAAAAGAAAAATAAAAAGCTTGTTTTACATGGATTTATATTATTTATACATTTATTTTATATATTTTTATAAATATGTATTTGTATTTAATTTTTGAAAAGGAAGTTTAATACATGTATGTGAATATTAAGCTGTGTTAACTCCGAATTCATAGGAAGAAGTTTGAAAATTGTACTAGAGCTGAAGACTATACTAGGAAGAACAAACATGAAGCGAAAGCCCCTTTTGAGTGCCGTGGCCTAGGTTTTGGTGAATTCACTAAAATGTCTTTCCCAGAGCATTACTGAATTTCTAGCGTTGGGTAGAAAAGTGGAACTAAGACAGTTATGGTGGCCCAGCCAGGTTCATCATACATACGTATCACAGTGTCTAGTTTCAGTGTTGAAAGTACTGGTGGCTGATCCAACTTCCTGCTGATGCACACACTTGGATGCAACAGGTAATGACTGAACTACCTGGGCGTCTGTCACCCACAGGAGAGACTCAGAAGGAGCTTCAGGCTCCTGATTTCTGTTTTGTCCATTCGCAGCTGCTGCCTGCATTTGGGATGTCAACATCTCTTTATCTTTCTGTTGTTCTGTATTTTAATATATAGGTGATGTTATATATATGGATTTCTAAAAACCAGAAGAAAATAATCCCAAAACACAGTAAGGTACAGTGAATCCCATGTAAAATGCTATTACTATAATAGTGCTAGCTACTCTTGCAGTGTTAGGATCAGGGCTAATGAGTATTATCAGCTGTAATTCAGGGACTTCTTGTTCCTAAATTATAAAATAAAGGGGAGATGAAAGAGACTACTGGGCTTCTTCACATTGAAACATTTAAACATATTTTTAAATCTAGCATATCTATATGTGTCAGATATAAGCAACTTACAAATTTCCTAAAGTGTATTTACCTAAGAGTTGATATGAAACAAACAAGAATAATAAGTTGTATGATTTCTGTGTGTTTATGCTGAGAACCTCATTGAAAATAATCCAAAAAACCATATTAGCTCCATATTATAAATTATATTTTATACTACAAGATAGCAGACACAAATATGAAACGCAGATCCTTTTTTATTACTACACAAGGTTCTACAAGATGGAAATATAATCTCAATGAATATTTCAATGTCAACGTGATAGATGAAGAAACAAAGTAATGGGACATGCTATCATATAACAACAGAACTTTATTGATTTGGGCTAGTAGAAAATAATGGGATATATGAATGCTTGTATGTTGAAGATGGATTGTTGTTTTTGTGATCTTTTAAAAGGACAAGTTAATGCAAAAAGTACTGAGGATCTCTAGTTTTCAAGGACTGATTTCTAACAAACAGTGGATGCTTTTGATCACATTAGTGTTTTAGATGCTGATTGTCTTTTTTGCTTAATTATTCTGAGGTAAATGAAGTAAAATAGTTTTTTTCCTACTTTTTGAGAATAAAATATCTAATTTTACAAGAGTATGCTTACAGAATGGTCTGGACATTTCTGAGAGTATTGTTACCCCGTGTTCATTAGGATCCGACTCGGGAATAAATTTTGAAAATAGCTTGTTTTAGAAACAACAGGGTTTTGGCAGCCTTGAAAATGAAAGTCTTTTTTTTTTTTTCTTCATTAATTACATCGCATTATGTGACACAGTTTTATAGGTCCTGGGATTCCCCCCACCCCTCTCCTAACCCTCCCTCCATGGTGGATTCCTCCACCTTGCTGCATTGCCACAGTTCAAGTTCAGTTGAGATTCTTTCGTTGCAAGCATCTACCAAGCATAGTGTCCAGTGTCTTATTGCCCAGATAAGTTCAACGGCTTCTTGAGGAGACCATTTTTGGTCTGAAGATAGAGCCGGCATAGTATCATCCCGATCAATTAAAAGCCCCAACATAGCACCAGCAACAATTTATAATGTTATGGAATTAGTGGACATAGTACTGAGTAACCACATCCTGTAACTTCTTCATTGACATTTCTATTTTAATTTATATACAACTGGGTTCTATACACCTTAAAATGGCTGTGGATTACTATTCAGCTGTCTCGTGACTATTTTCATTGTAGTATTTAGCTTTTTATAGTGTTGAAGCATAATTTTGCTGAACCTGGCTTTTTTTTTTCAGGTAGTCTATACTGGCTTATAACTCTAACAAGACATATGTCAGCAGTTTAGGTGCAGAACAGTTTTAGGAGGGGTGTGCAGAGAAACCTTCCATGTCCTAGTGAGGAGTAACTAATCTTTGTGTGCCACCTAGTAAGATATAAGTGAGTTGCCACTGACCATTTTCTGTCTGATTCTAGGCTTTCCTTGTTCTCTATCTATTCTAGATTTTTTGTTTGGTTGGTTGGTTATTTGTTTTGAGGGGTTTCTGGAGCGATCCTGATGGTCATTGCCAAAGAGGGTGTGAACCCAAAGTTGGAACCAAGCGAGGACCAGAGAAAGCTCCTCTCCCTATTCCTGAAGGAAGTTTACTTCTGTTTCTGCAGACCGCTCAGGGATCTTGGCTGTTGTTCTGATGCTCTTGGATCCTGCAAGGGAAGATTTGGACTTCTTCCATCCCATGTGGTAGATTCAAGCGGGAGTGGATGACCTCAGAGTTCTTGGCCTCCGAGGACACTCCAATTCCCCGTGGTATCCTTGGTAGTTGGGATGTAGTACTTGGTGCTGGTGCTGATAGTCCTTGGTGAGGATTCAGGAGTCTTCAGGGTTGAGATACAAGCCACTTCCTGTCCCCCTGCTCTGCTCTGGGGTCCCCACCTGAAAGTCTTATGTTTGAAGCAATAACATTTTGCCAGTAACTATCAATTGCTTAGCAATTAAATTTGCTTTACCTGAATAATTACATACTTTCCCACTGTTATGAGGAATTAAGTTATCTGAACTTACAACTTTGATCTTTTATAAAATGTTAACATGAAGTATTGAAAATAAGCATTCTATATTTTGTGTTTTATTGAAATGTAATTAGTTAAAATGGATAATTGTTTAAAATTATAAAATTAATTAGGTTTGATATATACATATCAGATACATGTATTTATATAGCCCATGATTACTGTCTAAATGAATGGCTGGGTATGTGACAGTGATTTGGGCTCTATAACAACATGAAAATTATCCTGATATTCTCTTTAAAACTGTTTTCTTTGTCCTTATGAGTTTTATTAGGACATATTGAGGTATAATTTCCATTCATTCCTGTTTGAGGTATACAAGTATATTATCCTTAAATCTTTCCTTTTAAATTTGTCAAAATACTTGAGTATATGGGGGGACATTCTGTTTGAATATTGTTTTCCTTTTTCAATCTGTTTCTCATTGCTGGGACTGAAACACATTATACTTTTATTTATTTTTTTTATTTTTTAAAGATTTATTTTCATTACTTTTTGATTGGAAAGGCGGATATACAGAGAGGAGAGACAGAGAGGAAGATCTTCTGTCCAATGATTCACTCCCCAAGTGAGCGCAACGGTCGATGCTATGCCGATCCGAAGCCAGGAGCCTATTCTGGGTCTCCCACGCGGGTGCAGAGTCCCAAAGCTCTGGGCCGTCCTCCACTGCTTTCCCGGGCCACAGGCAGGGAGCTGGAAGGGAAGCGGGGCTGCCGGGATTAGAACTGGCGCCCATATGTGATCCTGGGCGTGCTAGGCAAGGACCTTAACCACTTGCGCCACCACGCCAGGCCCGAAACACATTATACTTTTAGAATGGACCTGATAGACTTATGAGGCATAATTGAGCTCCATTAATCTTCTCACTAATATTTACTTTGCACAATTCCTATTGGTTTATTTTTAAGTTAACTGATAGTTTGAGATGTGTGTGTGTGTGTGTATGTGTGTGTGTGTGTGCGCGCCAGGCATTAATCCAGTACAGTGGAT